TGTTTAAAATGATAAAAACAGGTTAGATTCTCATAAAAAATAAAATGTAAGTCGACCAAAAAAACATTTTCAATGCATGAAACACTGTACTTTACCCTTTCATTTGTTTTTTTGGTCATAAGAGGAACTACAGTGATCAGGGTCTTGCGAGCTTTTGCGTTTGTGCGACATTAAGTTTAAGCTCTTGTTACCACAGGTTTTGGTTTCATCTAACCACGTTTCAAAATAACTGTCAAGCTGTGTTGTCATCCACACTTTCAGAGTAACTAGGGCGTTGTCTCTGTTGGCATTAGTATTTAATCTGGCATTAGTTTTTTTTAATGGAACATTTTCATTGCTCCACATATCTTAAAGAAGGTATCTGAAAAACCTGGACTTTGTATCCCAAACCTACATAACCAGATACCACCAGAGGCGTATCCACCAAATATAGTGATAATATATTAATATTATTAATAATATATTTAGTAAGGTGATGAACATATTTGAAGATTTCCTCATTCAGGGGAAAGCCTTCAGTAAGAATTTATTTTCTAAGAATCTGACATAATCTTCAGTCACGCGTGTTAATCAATCAAAGTTGTTATGTGTCACTGTGACCATTCATCACTTGACTTTCTACCTGGTTTCCTACTTTCAAAAGGTGTGACATACCCAGAGTGTTCAAGGTATGACAGTACACCTAAGTCATGGCTTTGAACTCAAGGCAAAATGTGACATCATGTCTGTTTTGATATCTGGAAAAAATATAACATCATAGGCATCTTACTTTTGGACCTTAATCCATTTTCCCTCCCTATTAGTCACATTTTATCCCATAATTTCTTTGGAAGGAGGGCTTAGTCATGTTCAGGTGTTTTCTCTCTTTGTAATAAGGATGGAGGTTTTGTGATTCATTAGCTCATATCATGGTCAGATTTTAGAAATAAGGAAGCAAATCAGTCATTGCTAGGAAATCAAACAAAGCCAATAAAACAGACAAAACAATCCTAAAAAGAGATAACAATACTTTAATGGCAGATATAAGATAAGTTACCAGAGAATTTACATCGGTCTTGAATTTGGCCAGTGATGCCACGTGAATAAAATCAATGACAATAGCCTGTGAACTGCATATAATTACACCTCTGTGACTGTTTCTGTTTCAACTTTGTAGCACAGAAAACTATTTTTCATCCATTGTCCATACATTACAGATAGGCTGCAGACAGATTACTTGTGCCCTAAAAGTATATATCATTGTTCTTGTGATGTTGCAGCTATATCATATGTTAACCAGACAACCAGGAGGCTCCTTTTTACGTTTAATGGAAGAGTAGAAAAGAATTGAAAGAAGAGACACTGAAGTGAAACAGTCTGTAGAGTTGAATTTTAGGCCATTGCTAGCACATGCTGGTCTGGAGGATGGAACTTTAACCAAACGTACTGTTATTTTTGTTCAAATTGTTGTTGAAAAATGTAGCTGTCAGTAACAGAAATATTTCCTGTCTTCTCTAGGCACTATGTAGTCAGAGGTCCTGAGAAAACTCCATATGAAGGTAAAACCTACAGACAGTTGAGCGACACATGCTCTTCAAGTAGCTCCTGTTAATTGGGATATTCTTTGACAAGTTCCATCATGCTGATCTCTGTGGTTTGTCAGTGATAAGAAGTGTGAGTGATTGAGCTGTGTTTTCTGTTATTTTCGTCATTCTCAGGGGGATATTATCACGGAAAACTCATATTTCCTCGGGAATTTCCTTTTAAACCACCAAGTATCTATATGATAACGCCAAATGGAAGATTTAAGTGTAATACAAGGTAAGATTGTAGTTTTATTATTGTTGATGTGAATGACAACTCAGGATTATAAGAGAAAGCTACTTTGGTTTCTTGTTTTAGAACTTGTCGGCTGCTTTGCTCTCTTTTTGTAACTTTCCCTGTGTCCTCCACAGATTATGTTTGTCCATCACAGACTTCCATCCAGACACATGGAACCCTGCGTGGTCCGTCTCCACCATCCTCACAGGTCTCCTAAGCTTCATGGTGGAGAAAGGCCCCACCCTCGGCAGCATTGAGACCTCTGACTACACAGTGAGTGCAAACAAATGACCATAAATGCAGCATATAGTGATGAATCGCCTGTCGTGTCTTAAATGTTTGATGTACTTTTTATTTTTTTTCCAGAAAAGACAACTGTCAGCCCAAAGCCTGGCCTTCAACCTCAAGGATAAAGTGTTCTGTGAGCTGTTTCCTGATGTAGTCGATGTACGTACGAGGTGAACGTCTTGTTGTTTTCTCGTCTTTCTTTTTTGTCGGCCTAATATTCTCCCATTTCTACCCTTCCTCCCACCAGGAAATGAAGCAGAAACAGAAGGCCCAGGAGGAGTTAAGCGCTCGCACTCAGCCCCTCCCCTTACCCGACGTGGTTCCTGACGGTGACCCTCAACACGCCCACTACGGCCTCCCCGCCCTCAACGGCGGTCCTGTCCCCCTCGGGGGCGCCAACCCCGCCCCTGGCCTGCAGCAGGCCAATCGCAACCATGGACTTCTAGGTGGGGCTTTAGCCAACCTGTTTGTGATCGTAGGCTTTGCGGCGTTTGCCTACACAGTCAAGTACGTGCTGAGGAGCATAGCCCAGGAGTGAGAGGAGTCGGTGTTGTAGGGCGGCGCTCCCCCCTGCAGGTGAGCCAGCTAGTGGACTCGACATTCTACAAACACACTACGTGGGGGAGGGATGTTCAGTCCTGGGTTAAACCCCTCCACGACCACCACAACCACCACCACCACCACCACCATGGACTTTGGAAGACAGAAACTCAAAGCCAACCCACCCAGGAAGGATTGAGAGGAGGAGTAGGAGGTGGGGGAGTGGACGGGAGTGGCAGTTGGGCCGGGGGATTGGAGGGGCTTATTAAAACGGTTGTGATCCACTCTGTGCTCTGTGGTTTATGTCAGCAGTTAGAAACAAACTTGGCTCATGGGTTGTGGAAGAGTGCAGAACTAGGGACACGGTTTGGAGGCAGGTCACAACAGACAGATGCTGAAACGCACCGTTGTTGTCCTGCAAGGTAAACAATCACAGGTAGGAGCTTATTCAGTTAAGTAGGTAATTCTCAGAGCAGGTGCCCACCTGCCCGTCACCTCTACAACAAGTGTTTCTGCTGCGGTGTTTCCTGATTATACATCAGATCATACAGAATCTTCAGGGTGTGACATGAAGCTGTCGCATCGCCAAATGTTTCCAAACTCTAGAGGAAAGGAGTGCCACAAAGACCAGTTGTGTGGCATTTCCAAACTAATTTGACCTTGATTTGTATTGCAGGCAGTTGTGGCACTGGAGCCAGTTTCCATCCTTTCCATGGAGTAGCGTCAAGGTATCAGATTTCAGTGACATGCAAGTGCAGTTCAAGAACCGGTTTCTCTACCTTCAATTTCATTACACAACAGCTGTATATCTGGATCAGATGGAAATGCAACAGAAAGTAGTTAAGAATGTGTCATACATTCAGTCATATAGACACAGATGATGATTTTACACGCATCACGTATAGATCTCTTTGCCACTGTGTAACAATATCCCTGTCCTCAACTACCCCTGTCAATGACTGACTCGCTGATAAACGTTGAGGTTTTATATGTGCCAAGAATATGTCCGCGCACTTTAAGCACAGATGGAACTTCAACGGAACTGCCTCGTGGTTCATGTTGACCAACGGGAAGATTTATGATCTGTGAAAGTTCGGTAGGCTTGTTAGCAGTCAGTGACAGAGAGACAACTGCCAAACTACATGTAAGCAAAGAACGAAAAAAGTCCCAAAACAGTACGCAGCAATGTGATACAAGTAGAGCGTCACCCTTGTAAGTACTTGTGTATCTTATCAGTAGGGTCTGTTTCCTGCACCAAAGCTTACATGTGATGAGCAAGGAGTGCAGAAAGAAGCCTTCCTACAACAGTATTGACAAGTGTATTTATATCTGCATTTCTCTTTATGTATAGATAAAAAGCATCAAACTCGGCGTGTCAGTCTGTGAAAGAGCCACTGATCTGTGGTCAGAGTCTGATGTGAGTCCAGACATTCTCTCCTGTCAACCCATGAGCCAAGCAGTGAACCCAGTGTCTGCACAGACGTAAATAGAGACCAGTACCTTTTTGAAATTGGCTTAACTGACCAGTATAGCACCACTCTATATAGGTCCAAGTAAAGAGACACATGAAGAGAACCAACATTTTATTTCTGTGTATTATTTTTTTCTTTTTGATATTTTTTTTTTCTTTGTGTTTTTGTTCTCTTTATTTATAGAAACGGCCTCGGCTTGTCTGCCAAGGAAATTTTTAGTGTCTGCTAAGCGGGGCAGTGCAGGCAAACACACACATACACACACAGACAGGCCATGGCCCAGGCTCACACAATTGCTGATAATTTACTGTTGTGCATTGCATTTAGTAAAGATGGCTCTACTGTGTATCTAATGTTTCAACAGAGAAATGGTCTGGAAGCAGAATATTTGCCTTTCTATTGCTCTTTTCTTGGCACCATCTTTAAAAAAAAAAATAGGAAAAAAAAGACAAACATGATGATGATGATGATGATGATGATGATGGGAGTGCGTTTGTGTGATTATACAGCAAATGCCCAAATTTCCATGCTTCAGTTAATCTTGTGTGACATTGTATGTTTTCATAGTAAATGCAAATAAATTACCCTGCATGGCAGGGCATTTTAGAAAACCTTCCTCCAGTCTGCGTCTTTGATAAACCATACTTTGAAATGTCCATAAACATTTAGCAAGGTGTCATATAATATGATCAAAGTTTTATTCTCCTCAAATAAAAATGTAATACTAATCAAATCAAGGTTATACTCCTTAGTTATAGTCTTTGATAAGAAAGCAAACGGGAGTTAAGTTATACGCACGCATGTTATTCGGAATTCCACAGAAGGCTATTATCCTTCAAGCGCTTCCTTGGAAGGACTGGAATCTGCGCATGACAAGATCAGTCAAGTCTGCAGGAACTGCTTTAAAAGCACCTGAGCCAAGCAAACAGTCACAGCAAACCTCAGTCAGCTCAACAGACTCTTTACCTCCAGTAGTAAAGAAGTTGGCCTCAGCAATCCTGAAAGTAAGTATTGTTCTTACAGGGCTGCCAGATGCTTTTGTATTGGACTAAGTTTTGACAAAGTATTTTTGTGTTTCTGATGCTGAATATTTGATGTGAAGTCCATTTTTACTGATTTCTGTTTGTCATGTGCTGCAGGTGGTTTGAAGATACACACTCTGCTTCCAGTCTCTGCCACGTCCTTCACACCATCAGCCAGCATGTTCATAAACGAAGAGCTTGAATGTGTCGTGTGCTGCCACGAGTTCTCCCGCGGCCACCGGGTCCCTCGGGTCCTCCACTGCAACCACACCTTCTGTGCCCCCTGCCTGGAGAAACTGTCCAAGCAGGAGGGGGTGATCCGCAGCGTCTCCTGCCCTCTGTGCCGCTGGATCACCTGCACCCGAGCCAGCCTGGCCCTGCCTGCAGCCCTGTGGGTCAACACGGAGATCTGGGACCAGATTACGCACGAGCAGCAAGAGATGGAGCAAGAAAAGGTGGAGGATTTAAACAACACAAAGCCCCAACTCATCAAGCCAACACTGTAAGTGCATTCTCAGTTTATTCTAATAGATTACACTCCTGTAACAGCAGCTTGTGGCTGCAGTGTCATTTCATGCAAGCCTGATATCTGAACACCTCCCTCTCTCTGTCTCTCTGTAGACCCACTTCAAGACACACTGGTTTCATGTCAGCGCTGCAAAAAATGTTTAGCTGTGTGCCGCTGCATGAATGAGACATGAACGGCTGCTGACAGTTGAACAGCAGAAGAAATGGCAGCGACATATGAATTTCTCATTCATGTATGACCTGACAGACCTGGTAAAGGTGGCGGTGCGTTCACAGCACAGGACTCCGTGCACTTTGCAGGAGCACTGTTGTTACGGACAGACACTGCCTGTGTGTTGTGAGGAGCGAAGGCCTTGTTCTTTTTGTGCTGAGCTCAGAAGTGGATTTAAAATGGACTGCACTGACTTGAAGTTGACAAACTGATTTTTTTTTGTAAATTAGTTTGGTTTTTTTTACGAGTAACTGTGAAATATCAATATTCAGTCAATCCTCATTTGTTTCCCAAAGCTGAATTTAATACTCTGCTTAAGTGTGTTTAACTGTGAGGAGCTCATTCTCATTTAAAACGCACAATTCAGTGGTAATAGGGAATGTTGTGTTTTGTTGTATATTATATAATGTATTGTAAATTATCCTCAAATTATTTATATATGTATGTATTTGTTCACTAGTTTGTGTCACTTTGCCCACCTGCGTTTGAAAGAACATCAGCATGTATCACTGAAGGATTCTTATCCTTAAAGTCCTCCTAAATTCTTCACCACATGTTACTCATTTGTGTGTGTGTGTGTTATTTATTTGTTCCGCCTTGATGGTCTTTTGGATCCCTTGAAAGGTGCTGTAAAAAAAATCAAGCCATTATTATCGTTATTGTTTTAACAAGTAATAAATCATATTTTGTAAAAATACGTCAAATAAAACATGATAAACAGTAATGAGTGAATTTCACAAAACCTTATATATTATATATTAATATATAGTGTCATACAAGGACATTTTCATGTTTTCTCAAACAATACACTACTTTTTAAAATTATTCTAATTAATAATTGCACTACAATTTTTTAAACAAACTGTAAATATTGTGTGTATGTGTGTAGTCAATATAGTACACATTTTGCATGATTTCCTTACCCCATTAAAGCTGCTATTAATTGACTTTCTGTATTTTTATGTTCCTATAGTTGGCTCAATATAATCATTAAAAATTGAATGATAAATATTAAATATAGTACTATATGTCAATATGTTTGACACTCACAAATATGATTTTTTTTTATTTTCTCCCATTTACTGTATGTCTCTGTTTGATTTTCCTAGCATTGAAGGTTTTTCACAAATGCATCAATGCTTTCCCTGCAGTATAATAAATCAGTTCAAGATTTTACAACTTAATTTAATGTGAAAACATTAAAACATGTTCAAACTAACACGCTTTATCTTATTTATACTATATTACTGAGTGTTTACAGGTGTCAGACATTTAAAGCTTTTTGAGAACTTTCCAGAAAAATTTGAAACAAATTTTAGACTGATTTTTGGACAAATCATATTTTTCTTATTTATCATTGCAGGTGAGTATAAAGGTCAGTGGTATAGATGTGGATTTGTGCAGAGGAAGGTTTATGTGGGAATATGGTTATTAGAGGTGAAGTAATTATGAACCATAAAGGCAACCCCTCCCACACTCAGTTCCCTGGAAAGATTTGTTTTTACATGCAGAGGCAAACTATGCTGCTGGTGAAGTTTATCTACCCTGTTAAAGGCCTGACAAGCCTGTTATCTAACTTTATTGTCTGCACTCACGTCAGCCGCTGGACAGGAAGAGTGACACGATTCAAAGATCATACAGCACTATTGATCAGTTAAGCATAATGACAGAGTGCGTTCATTAATAATGCTGGCAGACAGGAAGTGAGGCATAATGAAACACCATTCTGGATTTGTGGTTATTTTTTATTGAAAACAGTGACAGTGGGTTATTTGAACTGAAACCTTTTTTTTCCCTGAATTAGTTCTACCAAATAGCCTCTTAACTATACTATGTTAAGATGAAATACAGTTAAATATTCAGACATTACAACACAAAACCGATGCAAACACAACAGGGAAGGATTTACTAAAAAGCTTCCAGTACCCACAGAAACCATCCCGAGATTCACCTCCTTTAACTAAGAGACAGTGGCAGGAACAGATCAGCTGTGTTCAATGCCAACAGCGTGACTGACATGTCCACACTGTGGTAATAATTCATCCATATGTGAAAACAATGGATTCCAACAAAGACAAGACTGAAGCCGAAGTGGCCACTTTTGCACATTTTCGTGGGGGGGGGGGGGCGACTGTGTGTGGTTACTGGGCAGCGACACATTGGACTTCTTTTAAGAGACAAACTGCTAAAGTGGCTTCTCATCAAACACTGAGTAACTGAGCTGGCAGCCATCCTCCTATTTTCATCAGTCATTGTTACGGCTGGGTAACAGTACTTGATACCTCTAAAAGGTATCACCCAAAATAACCCAGTATCAAGTAGTAGTGAAACCTCTGCTGCCAAAGGATACCTGCATTCGATCCTTTTTGTGCTCAGATCACAAATACAGACTCTTTGTGTGATTTTGCTCGTAGCTAATCATGGCAGTCTTCGACTTCATGTGACGTGATTGGCCCACTACCACAGCAGCTAAAACCCCTACAGTCTGGGGTGTGGTGAAGTTGAGAGAGGTGTACTTGTCAGTTGACAGTTCAGCGTGCCAAGATGCCGCCAGAAAGTTTGATAGGAATTTAAGTGTTAAACTGAATGCTCATCCATTCACATGTATCAGAGTAGATGTAGAAAAAACGTATCAAATCAAGTACTTGATTAGTATTGGTATCACTTTATGGATACTGGTATCAAAATTTTTTAGATGATACCCAGCCCTTGTTATTGTACAGCAGTTGGGTAGTTTGTTACAACTTCGTAGCGAGCATTTCCAAAGTGTCACGGGGATAAAACAGGACCTGTTTTTCTTCTACAGTATATAAAACAGTAAAAACTGGCCATAAATCTGTTTTAATAACGAGCAGGTCCTACACAATCAGGATTCACAGATATAGATTATTTTTCGGTCCATGTGAAACTGGATTTTTTAACATTTTAAAGAGTGTAAAGTAGGGAGGAAGGATAATATCTCTTTTTTTTGATACTTTAAACAAAAGCTTTTCACGTCATTCTTTAGGATGGTGTTTCCGCTCCTCTGTACTTCATAAATACATTCAGCACTCAGATGATGCAGTTAAAAAAAAAAAAAAAAAAAAAAAAAGTTTCTATTGCATAAGGACATGATAAATCCTGCCTAAACACGGTCACTACATTAACAGACTATCACATGTGCACTTAAATTAACATGTATCCATCACAGTTTTCATCACATCTTTTCTCTTATTCCACATCTTCATGGGCCTTCCTCTTCCTCTCTCGCTCAGACAAAACATAATTTAAAACATAGTAAAAGACATAATTGTGAGTAAACAGACATGGGTAAGGTACAGTCATTATTATGTTAGCTAAAAATACAGGGCCTCGGTGGATTAGTGTGAAAACTTTATAACAAGGCTCATGAGAAACTAATGACTCGTAACTCTGTCAGCCAGCTCTTCAATAGCCTCGTGAGTCAGGCGTCTAAAAGCTCGCCTAAAGTGTCGTCGCAGCTTGTGACAGGAGGATAATCTTTCTTCACACAGAAACCTCGTGAATAACAGGAGTAAAATACATTTACCACAATGCCTTAATTATACATCTGGATAAGATGGGGATAAAATACGGGCTATAAACAATATAGTTAAGGGAAAATAAATCGATATGATATCAAATAATATCAAAGAACATTTCAAAAACACTAAAACGATCCAAAAGAGCATGTAAATGTGTCAGAGGTGAAACGCTGCCTTGAGTCAGAAGCAGCAAACAAATAAGTGACCAACAGTTATTCTATTAGAGATACAGTTTAAATGTCCCTTTGTGATAGTATGTGGGGAAGTAGATTTTTTTTCTTTGTTCAAAGTGTGTGTGTGTGTGACTCCCTATAGGTATGGGTACTGTGTGAGGCGCCTGGGGCTCAGCTGGTAGGCACTGTAAGCCTCAGCCCGGGGCGTCACACTAATGTAGGGAGAACCAGTGGCGAACTGATGCTGGTAGGCAGCGGGGAGGCCATGCAGCAGACTACTGACAGAGTCCTTACGACTGGCCGAGTCTCTCCTGGAGGAGGAGGATGAGGTGTACGTTGCTGCATAGGCGGAGGGGGAGTGTCCATGGCTGGCGTGACCACGGCCTAGCAGCTGCTCCATGGCCTGAGAAGCTGAGGAGAGGGCGGTGGAGGCCGGGTAGGCGTACAGGCTGGGGCCAGGGGCCGAGGCTGAGGCCAGAGCAGACACCTCGGGGAAGTTGTAGTGAGAGGAGGCGGCCGGAGGGAAGGTTGGCTGGCGACGCAACGATGAGTCACTGTGGGAGCGCTCCTGAGATGAAGACACCACCGGCTGAACCTAAAAAGAAACAACACTCAGTGAGCGACTGAAGAGAGGCATCAAGAAGAGGGCTGAGCAATCTTCTACATTCGAAGCCTCTTTTGAGGTCATCATATTTTACAATATCATTACCTTAAAAAAATGTAAATCAACTTTTTCCGTCTGTGTACAGAAAGCTGGGGAACCAACAGTTTTTTAACTGCAATGAAAATTTTGTTTATGAAAGGCTAAAAACCAATTAAAGCTGCAAGCAGCGTTGGGCGGGACCTCGTCCTCTCGCTGCCGGCCTCCAGCTCATGTAGACAATGTGAATTAGTCTCTCCATAAGAGTCCAAATGTCGATGTATACATCAATACATCAATGTATACATCAATACATCCAATATTTATTATATAGAAGGTAAATCATAATTCATTCAAACAGTGTAGGAGGATTTGTTTTTTTAAGGATTTTGAAGAAAGAGCATTTTTGAGGCGAAATCTTAC